GATTACAGAAAGATAATGCCTAAATGGTATTGGAACAGTAAGAAGAAGTAATATGCTTCAAAATGAGTGCAAATAGTCTAGGATTTGATGACCCGAAGAACTTTAGAACGATCGTTAAAAAAACTTGTATAACAGAGACTAAAATTTGCATATTTTAGCCTCAAACGGTCGTCCAGCAATGAAATGCTGGGAATGGCAGTAAAATAAACAATTTCCTAATTCTAACTGCAATTTCGTTATTAGGATGGATAGTAGTGTTGAAGGTAAAATTATAAGGCAAAAGTTTTTTCGAGTCCGAAATCGAGTGGAACGCTTTTAGGGAGACTGCCTCTTAAGGTTTTTATTTGCGCTTCGCGCTAAAAATAGCGAATGGTGTGTCTCGTATTCGGGGTTTCTAGTTACATTTGGGAGTCCTTGACTTCACTAATTCCACTCCGACAAAAATAATCTAACGCGTGTATGTTTCTCCTACATCGAATGGGAAAATTTGTTAACTTAGTGGGAAAGCTTCGAATCGTCGAGGAAGGGCATTACAGAGGAGAAAGGAAGGATAAACCTCAATAAGATGCCGCGCGCGCTTCAGATAGTGATATCGGCGAGTAGAAGAATCACATTGCAATCCCCGCCATATAGTCATAATAAACGATTGAAAGCGTATCGGGAAGCGTATGGAGCCAGCTCAACAGTTAGACTTTACCCAGCTTCGGTTAGAGCAGAGACAAAAACATCACTACCCGACAGATATGCTTCGATTACTTTCCTCTGATAGTCACGCATATTCATAATATCCCGTGGCCTCGAGAGCATCTTTTATTATATAATATCGCTTTTGCAATCGCCCCTATGATGGAATTTCAACCGCAATTCACGTTTCAGTGCACTTTAAATTACTTGTGAGTGACCACTTCATCCCCTTCTCTGATTGGTCTAAGCGCAGCGACTCGTTTTTGGCTCGCTAAAACTGAAGCAAATCAAGTATGAAAATCCTTCGTGCGCCATATTTAATTAGACGAACGACTTTTTTGAAAGACGAGGGGGACTTCGAAGCTCCCTCGTCCCGGTCACAGAAAGCGAAGGAAAAGCCCCGTCTGAATAGGGTTCAAAAAGGTGCTTAATGAACCGTGATGTTTGCAAATTAACTTATAATGAGTATACAACGATTTTGGGGTAACACATTCACAGAGTGGTTCGAATTCGTTTACCATTCCGGATCCGGATCGAATTAAGGATTTAGAAATGATGGTTTTTGAGGTGAGGGGAAAACCGGAGTATCCGGAGAAAAACCTTTTGGAGCAAGGGTGAGAATCAGCAACAAACTGGATTCACGTATGTCGTCGCCCCTGGAATTCGACACCGGCCCATAATGATGGGAGACAAATGCTCCTACCAAAGCCCCATCTCGCTAAAAATTAATACCGAACTATCTCTCTGAACTTTAAGTGTATGCCTTTGTTTTTCTGTGACCAGATAAGAAATGGTCGCAACTTTAAAGGGTTTGGTTCGACTTTTTCCTAATGCAATTCTTGTGTTGTGAAAAGTTTACATAAACTGATTATATTCATGTTGTTTTCCTTTCCTTTAAGAGAATCGCTTGATTTATTGATAAGAGGTCTTTAAGTAAAAGAAATTGAACTATAAGGGATAAAAAAGTGGGTTCAATTTCAGTTTAGGTATGGACCAAATTAAAACGTAAAACTCACTTTGACATAGACTGTGGGCACTCAGTTTGTGATATATAATTGATATTATTTATTATCTAGGAAGTTGCGGAAACAAGCAACTTGCTGGGGACAAATGCTGAGCCTTGCACTGTTGACATGATGCAACAAGAGGAAGCTGATTTTGAAAGTGAGGATGATTGCAAAGTACCCTTGATCGTATTTTCGCCACCAAATCACGCAGAGGTAAATAGTTTTTTTTTAAGTTAAGGACAAAACAGAAGTAGCTTCCCTCCTCCTCGAAGAATCCGTAAAATGTTCAACGCACTTACAAAATTAGCTTTGAGTTAATGATTTTGATTAAGCAGTGCAGCATACAAAATTATCATTTTTCAGTGCTAAGAAACCCGAACTGGGGAGTGTTTGGTAGCTACTCGTAATGAAATCTGGAAGATGCATGTTAAGGGTAGTGTTTCACTTATAAATATCCTCACTAAATTAATTTTCCCTTTATCATCTTATATATAATTATCACCAGCCGAAGATCAAGAGCAAATCGGAACTTTGTAGCACTTGAATACACCATACCGGATCGGTCCAAATGAAGTGGCTATTCATTTTATCATTTATTTTAGTAATTTCGTTGTGAAGAATAATAAGGGAGAAAGAAGAGGGAGCTAATAGGAAGGCGGGGGAGAGGTGGGGGTAATTATTTTGCTCCCTGTATACTTGGGAGGCTTATAAGACTAGAGGAACTCAATCGAGGATTTACGGTGAATTATCACGTGAATTATGTAGGATACACAACGAGTTGAAGACAGACCAAATAACTTCGAAGCAAGTAGGGGACCTTCAAGCACTCCCGACGGCAAGAAAGAGCAAGGAGAACAAAGTGATTTTAACGATGACGATCAATGCAAAATCCCAATGACAGTGTTTTGGTCGTCGATCCAGGAAGAGAATGCTGCACCAAAAACAGATGAGAAAGAGTGTGATAACAAGTGTGAGACATTTCATCCAACTGACGCGATGTCCTTTGCATGGCAGATAGCACGAGGAATGGTGGGCTTATTTAGATTTTTTTGTGTGTCTCTTGGAAACCATGACCGGTTACAGTGTAGCCGTCCGTAGAAGTTCTGATTTTACATCTGGTGTAAAGTTTTAATTTAAAGATGAATTTAACGAGAATAAGTACACGTTACAGAAAATGAAAAGATTTCGGCACCAGATAAAACTAGATTTCATTATCTGTTTGTTTGTGCGATGTTTACATGGATATAAAAATGGGTATTTTCATCTTCTTTTTCTTTTGTTTTTTTTTTCCCTTTTTAGAGCCAATTCTTCAAAACCTTTACTTACTAAACTTAATTACTAGCAAACTTATATGTTAATTTCTTATCTCATTCACTTAACTGGCTTTACACTTTTCAGAGCTACCTCTCTGAGAAGGGCCTAGTTCACAGGGATCTTGCTGCAAGAAACATTCTTGTTGGGCACGGTAAAAAACTCAAGATTGGAGACTTTGGTTTGATGCGAGAAACGTATCATGAGCTGTATGAAGTTAAGAAGCAAAAGAAACTGCCCATCAAGTGGCTGGCACCGGAGGCGATTTATGAACAGATCTTCACCTCCAAAAGCGACGTGTATGTGCTATTTTTGACATATAATACAGCAGAGTATAACACCGATTGAACGTGTGCAAGAAACCTTAAAATTCCGTTAATTTGAGTATGCGTCGCTGCTTGAGGCTTTTTATGTGTGTATGGTATAAACATAATTTAGGCGTCTTAAGAGTTCTTTCACCAGTAATGATTACTTTCTAAAATGTTACAAAACATTTCTTTCATTGTAAAATTTTGTCAAGATCAACCCGTTACGTTTTCATTCGATTTCATTCCCTCCAGACAAAATTTAAACAAAATAAAACTATCGTCATTAAATGTAGGCCATGATTTGTCCTAAACTATATACAGCAGCAATACAGGCAACTTTTTAGGGTTATTTATGTTGTTTTGTTTTATCTTTTTTTTAATTTATTTTAGGTGGTCATATGGAATCGTTATGTGGGAAATTGCAACATTAGGTAAAATTCCAACTTCTACCTACTTTATCGCCTGCGTAGCTTTTTCTTTAGAAAGGAAGGGAGGTGGTTGGGGACCGTTTTTGCCCCATTCTCCTCGTGCTTTATACCCTCCTTTGCTCTACCCAACAACTACAACCGCTCAAGTGTATCATCAAACAAGAAAATAGTAAGTACAGTGTTTTCACATTGAACTTAATTCATGAATTGTCCTGTAACCCAGGCCAGGATGGTTGAGTTCAATCGTGCAACGATAAAAAAGCGTATTGGACCAATAAACTACAACCGCTGAAGGACTGGCGAGTTTTTTAAAGAAATTCTACCTGAAGGTGGCTGGTAAGGAAACTGAACAGGTTCCTTCATTATTCATAAACTTACAGTTAAATTTACTGACTTTTAAAGAGGAAAGTTCTGTAACTTTTGTAAGCCTAAGGCAAGCATCGTAATCGTCCATTAAAGCGGCAGAATAGTCTCTATCAGTATCTAATAATCAGTTTAGTCCTTGGATCTCTGCTTATTCATTAAAAGTATAATCATAATCGAGAGACCCTTTTCAATTTTCTTGCAGGAGGTTCACCTTATCCACTGCTAAACAACGCTGAGGTCATGAGTCTCCTCAAAACGGGGCACCGATTGGAAAAACCTGACTTGTGCTCGGACAACTTGTAAGCCATTAGAATTTCTAGGCATAATATTATTAACTATTAACAAAAAAATATTATTCTTTGAAAATATTTTTCCGTTTATGACGGCATAATTTTCCCAGCTGACCAAGAACCTAACAAAATAGATTTCATCAGAAAAGGTCCCTTTAACCCTCTCTCAGTTCACTGCCGATTGTCGAAAATTAAATAAATTCACAGTTTGGACAAAAAAAAAATTGGGCTAGAAAAGGGGAGCAGGTTTGCTAAATAGAATGGATTGTCACTCAATAAAAAAAAATAAATAAACACCCTGCGTTTAGTATCCATCCCATTCTTGTTCATCTGAGGGTTAAAAAAATCACGGTGTTTTTGTTATTTGTTAGTTACGCCTTTATGATGGAATGCTGGAAACAGAACCCGGATGAACGACCAAGTTTTCAGGAGCTGGTTGAAAGGCTGGAAAGAACCATGACTGAGCAAGTAGAATACCTTGATCTAAAACAGTTGGACGAGACCAAAACGTACTATCAAGTGCAAGAGTCCAAAACGGGCGAAATAGGTGGCGACAGCGAACTCGGCATGCACAGAGCTGTTTCTTTGATTTCAATCGCCGTTTAGAATAGAACCAACAACTTAAGGCTGCAGCCTGAGGAAAAAACGTTCTAGTTCATAAAGTCAGTTGGTTTGGTTAAAAACATAGCTTTAGTTAAGAGTCGTTCCTTTCGAAAGTAGATTGCTGGCGGTTAAAGCAGTTCTAGATCATGTAGGTTTAGGATTTATGGTCGACTTACGCGTATGAATCTATTGCAGCTTTTTGCTTTAAACAATTGCCCCAAAGAGTGTAAGAAAATTAAAAGGATTTAGAAGTACATCATAGAAAGTAACCTTTAATTGTTTGAATTTAAATTATCATAGTTCGTGCAAAAGAAGATTTTAGTTTAAAATCCAAATCTGAACATCATCAGTCCTAAAACAGATTTTGCGCATTTAAAATAACCAACAATGTATCGATCGTGAACCCTTTTGGTCCACACTTGGGTGAAATGTGAAGATCACTTCTATATCTATATTTATCCGGTTTTGCGGAATCCATTTGGTTTGAGGTCATAAGTCTAACTCTGGATTTATTAGTATAAGTTCAATATGAAATATAATCTTTAGAGTTACGTATTATTACTTGTAAAAGGAAGCTATGAAACGCTTGTCCTTTTATTGTAATTATTGCACTATTATTTATTTAGCTTTAACTCAAATTTTATCTCGCGAATGGCCTGGCAAAGTTAACCTTAAATTTGTGGAACGACATAACTTAAAACTAAGAAATAAAAGCAGTCTTAACCAACTAAATATGTCTCTGAAGTCTTTTAAGTTGTGTATAAAAGTTCTGAATCACACAAGAAAATACTATTAGCCACAAAAAACATACTCTACACTATTAAGTTTGATATAGACGTATGAACTGAGAAGACCTGGGGACAAGGTTAAGTTGTTTTGGCAGTGAATACAAAATGGCTGAACATTTCACTCTTCTCACGAAAAAAAACAGCCAAACTATTGGCTAAAAACATATCAAGAACAGCAAGAAGACAACTCGAGAGACGACATCCGCTATTTGGAGAATATTTGCGGAACTGAACAACCCTTCATCTCCGAAACTTGACGATAAACATGCACTATCGAAGATGAATTCGACATCGATGGAGGTAAGAATGTTTAGCTTGTTTTTAAACTAGAAGTTATTTTGAATGAATAATAAAACATCATTGATTTTGGTTTTCGTATCATTGAAAGAATTATGGAGATCTGGGAGGGTGTTATCCGCCTCGGCGTCCTCGATCTCCATAATTCTTCAGATGATGCGAAAGCCGAAGTCAATAATTGCTAAATATTATGTTATGACTGAACAAATTAGGATGACGGGTCAACTGAAACAATAATAGTTAACATGGGATCACCGAGACTCACAGCGTGGTCTGCTTTTGATGTGATGGAGCAAAAGGACGATGATTTTAATAGTGAAGAGGAATGTAAAATCCCCATGCTGGTATCTTCGGTACCAAATCAAATACATTTCAACGTGTTTTAATCTTAAAAAGCTCCACTAAGTCTAACATTTAATTCAGTCCGTTTGGGACTACATTTTATGACTGGTTGACCATACAGTTTATCTTTTGTCACTACGTCATGATCCCACTTGGTCTCCTTCTTGATACCCGACGCCATCTTAGAAGGCTTCGATCATTACGTTTTAAAAATCCAGTAAATATTGCACCAAAACTGATGAAAATAATGGAAAGATTCTCATGTAATCTTAAATTATAAAAATACTGTGCAAAAATGCAAGCATGAGCAAACAAACAAATAAACATTTTATGGATCGAAGGAGCTGAAGTTGTGAGCGTCAGTCTCTGACTGCGAAACAAAAACTAATTAACGCTATACATTATCTCAAGCGAATAAACTTTAGAAGCAATTCGTGACGACTATTTTAGTGAGAACCGTTTCACAAACTGGTGAAGTGTTGAAGGTGTCATGTTTGTTATGTCTAGTTGGTAATCTTAGAGCACTCCGAAATAATTAAAAAACTTGCTCAAAGTAAGCTTATCCAAGACAGTTTTAAATTCTGGATTTCATGCTGTGGATTCCGGATTCCTAGTCAGCGGATCTTTAGCGGGGTTAAAGATTCCTTGACCTGAATTCTTCCAAAGCACAGGACTCTTGACTCCTGACAAGCAAAAATTTCCCGGATTTCGGAATCCGGGCAAGAATGTCCAACAAAATACTGACTTGAAAGAGTTCGGTCAACCTTTTGTAATGAAATTCTTGCGTTGTCGAAAGTTTTACCAAATCTGACCATACTCATGCTGTTTTCCCTTTGAGAGAGATGCTTGACAACTTTCGTAATAACAGGTCAAAGCATGACGTTGCTATGTACTATCTAGAAGGTCGAGGAAACAAGCAACTTGCATTTGCCAACTTGCTTGGAACAAATGCTGAACCTTGTACTATTAACATGATGCAACAAGAGGAAGCTGATTTTGAGAGCGAGGAAGAATGCAAAAATACTCTTGATCGTATTTTTCCCACCAAATCATGCTCAGGTAAATAAAATCTCTAATTTATGGACAAAACTTTATAACAGCTCCTCCCTCTCCTTAAAAAATCTTTCTAGTCCTTCTTCAAACATCTCAAGGTTCGTAAACGTATGACACATTTCCAATTGCAAATTAACGCAGAATCATTGACATTGATTTAGCATTGCGCTACGAAAAATTATCATGTTTCGGTGCCAAAACACCAGTCTTGGGAAGTGTTTCGTCAAAGGGATAACCAAAAATCTAAGCGCCATTCAGGCTTTTATGATTGACTTCTGATTACGTTTATGTTATGCCATCTTTAAATGGAATAAGTTCTTTACGTTTGACTTGAAATTCGGTAGCTACCCTTAAAGATATCTACAAGGTGCACGTTAAGGGTAGTGTTTCGAGTATAAACATCCTCACTGAATTAATATACGGTAAATCCTCTATAGCGCCCGTCAGAGGACGGTGTAGGGAGCGTATTTTTCAAGCAGCAGGGGGTGGTTAGGGGGAGAGGGAGGAGGGGCTTATTCAGTTATTTAATTTAGTAAATGATTACCGATAATTCCAGTCCTTTATAGAGAGCAAGAGCGCAAAGTGGAAAAAGCTCAATTGCAAGTATTTAAAGTTGGAAGTCAAGTAACCAAAAATCAAGAACAAATTCTCGGGCTTCGATTCCAGCACGTGAATAAAATAACCATACCAGTTTAGTACACATGAAGTGCCTTACAGCCATAACTTATTGATCAATACAGTCTATTATTTGTTACTTTCGTTGTGTAGAATTATAGGGGGAGGGAAGGGAGACTTAAAAGAGGGTGGGTTATTAACTTTCGGCCCCTAAAAGGAGGGCTTATAAGAGAAAAGACCTTGTTGATGGGGGGGGGGAGGGGGTGGGCTTAAGAGAGAATTTACGGTATCTGCGAGATTTATCACATGAACTGTATTTAGAATACATAGGGAGTTGAAAACAGAACAAACAATTTAAAACAATAAAAGTAATTCAAGGGCCGTTTGAAAGCCGTTATCTGACGCCAGGAAGTAAGTTAATGGTCCTTAGAAGCTTTCCAACGAGTCCAGATTTAAAATGACGCAAATTTTAGAACCATTATTCAGTAATCTGACTTCGTGAAGTTTCAAACCGGTGTCATTTAGTCTCGAAATTTTTTAAGTTGAGTGAACTGCAGCGAAAGAGTGCCTGGTTAGGGCTTACATAACAACTTAAATAGTTGGCAAAACACTGCTTTATGCCAAGAGCGGCTCAGTTATACCAACTATATAGACAATAGACTGAAATATTTATAATTGCGTTCTTGCACGCAGTCAGGATTCACTGAATGAAGGAGACATATATTTGGAATAATTTGGCCACTCAAGTGGCGTTTATTGCAAACCAATTACAAGTGCTTAAGTGTCACGTTAACCGGGAATCATCGCTTAGTGTAACATGACAGTTATTTGATTCAGTGAATTAAGTTGGGGCGAAAACTAGCCCATGTGAAAAAGTACCAAGAGCAGAGGAGGAGCCAAGGGGATGGAGGAGGGTCGGAGAAAGAAATAAGTTCACTATTGAAAGGCTGAACAGCTCAAGATCAGCGTTGGCAGAAAAAAGGGGCGAAAGATAGCGAAGCTCACGAATTTATAGCCCGCTCTGTGTGTAGTGCCTAGCCAGCTATCGTTATCTTGACTATCCACCTCTGCAGCTTGCACTTAAAGATAAGATAATGCCCCGCCTCACCATAAAACCCATTATCGTGCCGAGTCAATAATGGGTCATTTTTTCACGGCCCGATAAACGACAGGGTCTCGTATGGAATAGACAACAAACTAAATGAAACGTAGTACAGAAAGTATCACCTTCCAGAGGCACCCAACGAGGATATAGCTCAAAACCACTTAACATAGCATTGTTGAACGTATTTTAGTATTCAAACGGTAGATATAGGCATATTTTTACCCCCTAAAAACTTTCCATCTGTTCGGATGTCCTAGCTGAAAGTCTAGTGATCCGAAAATTATAGGGATAAAAACTTACCTTCTCGAAAATTTCAGCCAGGAAAAGGCTCCCGAAAATTCTAGGTGGCCTTTTTTAAGGTCAAAATCCGTTAAAAATGGGTAATTATACCATTTTGTAGATGTTCGAAAATCCTAGGAGAGGCAGGCAAGCAAGAAATTTTTCAACAAATGCTCCGAAAATTCTAGATCTCAAATCGTCTTCCGCACAGATATTTTCCCGAAAATTGCCGTTGGGTGCCCCTGACCTACTTATCTGCAAAAACCGGCCTATGGTTCAAGGCCATCAGTTCCGCTGAAACTAGACCTAGATCCAATTTTCCCCAGTCCAGAGTTTCTTTTCCAAGGTACCATCAGTTAAGCTTAACACCGACGAAACGTTTTTATGGCTGGCACAGAATATTTTGGCGAAACCGCAGTTCAACCACGCGATCACCTACCTGTCAACACCATGCGGAAATCACACAATCACACACTTTCGGGGCACTGATAAGACTATCCACAACCACGCATAATCTTCTCACC